TCTGAGCACACACTTTTAGTTCTTCTGTGATTTCGGATTTCCTGTTCAATTTAAATGCCTAGAAGATTCTATTGGAGATGGTAGTTTGCATACATACAGTCTCCCCAAAGTAAAAATCGCAGATTTATGCTTTTTCATATGTTTTGTGTTTTTTTCCTTTATCTTTTTCTTTTCTAAGTGTGATCCATAACTCTACAGAACTCCAAATCTGTAGAGAATGTCTGCATCTCACGCTTCCGCCACCACTGACTCCCNGGACCCATCATCCTCCCCCGAGGCCCTGCGCATCAAAGAACAAGCCATCAACAACCTTGCAGACCTCCTCAGGCAGGAAGGCCGGGCCCACGACCTCCAGAGCCTCCTGACCAAGCTCCGGCCTTTCTTCTCCCTCATCCCCAAGGCCAAGACGGCCAAGATCGTCCGCGTCATAATCGATGCCGTGACCAAAATCCCCGGCACATCCGACCTCCAAATCTCCCTCTGCAAGGAGATCGTCCAATGGACTCGTGCCGAAAAACGGACCTTTCTCCGCCAGAGGATCGAGGCCCGACTAGCGGCCCTCCTCCTCGAGAACAAGGAGTTTCCGGAAGCCCTCGCTCTCCTCTCAGGCCTCATCAAAGAGGTCCGCAGGCTCGACGACAAGCTTTTACTCGTCGAAATCGACCTCCTCGAGAGCAAGCTCCATTTCTCGTTAAGAAACCTCCCGAAAGCAAAAGCCTCACTGACCGTGGCCCGCACGGCAGCGAACGCGATCTACGTGCCTCCAGCTCAGCAGAGAACGATCGACTTGCAGAGCGGGATCCTCCACGCAGAGGAAAAGGACTACAAGACGGCTTACAGCTACTTTTTCGAGGCTTTTGAGGCATTCAATGCGCTCGAGGACCCGCAGGCCATCTACAGCCTCAAGTACATGCTGTTGTGCAAGATTATGGTGGGGCAGGCGGATGACGTGGCGGGGATCATATCGTCACCAAAGGTGGGGCTGCAGTATCAGGGGCCTGAGCT